CAGTAAACCCTAAACCCTAGTCAAGGAGCCCGTGCTAAGAAACTCCGCGAACTATGACTTGAGCAATAACACCGGAGAAACGTCAACATGCCAAAACCATCAAAGCCACACCTCCCTGTGAACACCCCGGATATGATATACCCTGAAGACTTAAGCTTCTTAAAACTTAAGCTCGCAGTTCCTCCCTAAACCTAAAACTGCTTTTACGCCACGTAAATCCCTAACCCTAAGCCAGCCATAGCCAGCCGGCCTTTCCACCGTCCCAGCCGCCATAGCCTTTGCCTCCCCATCCTTTTTGGCAAGCAGCCATTACATTGATTACACCGCTCTTTGTTGCGCAAGGTTGGGGTTGAGAATTGGCATATGGCCGAAGGTAGCACGTCTCAGTAGGGCATAATTAATTGGGTCCTTCAACCCCAAGCCCTCAAACCCTAGACCTGCATCCTAAACCCTTTAACCCTGATCCCTGTAGCCCCTAAACCCTAAACCCTGAACCCGAAACCCCAGACCCTAAACCCCGAACCCGGAAGCGCTGATCCCTGAAGCTCTGTGATCTGGTGATTGCGAGGCTTCGAAGTTGAGGGCTCTGAGCTGAGGCTTCAAATCTCAAAGCTCTAGGGTTTAGAGTGTAGAATTTAGGGTTTAGGGTTTTAGGGTTTGGGGTTTAGAGTTTTGAACTTAGGGGGTGAGGGCACCGACAGCAGCGGTCGCTGTCGTTGTCGGTGTGATGCTATATCTGTCTCTATTTCTCGGTCTCTGTTTTGACTCCGTCTGTCCTTCTTGATTGTTGCGTTTCTCTCATCCTCTCTCTCTCTCTCTCTCTCTCTCTCTCTCGCTCTCTGTGTTCTCCTTCTTTTTTCTCACAATCTCTCTCTCTCTCTCTCTCTCTCTCTCTCTCTCTCTCTCTCTTGCTTGCTCTGTGCGTATAGACAATCGACAAACAAGTAATTACACGCAATGTAGGTATAGCAAGTACGCCGGTAGGTAGGTACGTAGGTAGTTGTGTGCATAACGTTTGCCATGTATGTATGTGTACATGTACGGATGCACGTACGCATGTACGCATGTGCGCATGTGTGCATGTATGCATGCAAGGATGTACGGATGTCTAGGTGATGGATGTATGCATCTATGTCTGTGCCTATGCAAATTGTAAATATGTTGTAGATAAGGTCAAAGTAAATACATGATGTGTACGCACATTTGTGTGTAGGTGTATATCGAGTATGCTAGTATGTATGCCAGTAAGTATGTATGCATGCAGGCATCCATGTATGTATGTATGTGTCTACGTTGAAGTGTTCTTACTTATTCATACGTATAGGTGTGGGTTAAGGGCATGGGGTGGTACGCGTATGGATATAGGTGTAGGCATACATATAGGTGTGTGTGTGTGTCTATGTCTAGATGTATATGTATGTGTATGTATATATACATAGATTGTCTAGATGTACATGAATGTGTGTACATATACATGTATATACTTCTATCTATGCACACACACACACACACATGTTGGGGATAGAATGAGCTAGCTCCTTCTATCTCTCCCTCTGTGTATCTGGCCCTCTGGTGTGCGGCCTTTGCCACCCCATCCATAGCCGCCGCCACCGTACCTGGGCAGTGTTCCCTAAACCATACACCCTAAACCCTGAACCCTAAAACCCAAAACCCCAAAACCCTAAACAACACCCTGTATGCACCCTAAAACCCTAAATTATACACCCTAAAACCTTAAATCCCTATGCTGCGCTTAGGCCTCGGAGTTTAGGGTTCGAGCTTCCAGGTCTCTGAAGGTTTCTGGGGTTGAGGTTCTAGTCCTAAGAGTAGCCTACGAATAGAAAGGGTGCCCTTTTTTGGTTTGAAGGGGGTGATAAGGGAACCTGAACCCTAAAACAAGGAATAATGGCTTACTCTGGGTCCTAGGGTTCGAAGTGCTCATTTTGGGGTCAGGGTTTGTTTAGGGTTTAGGGGAAGTGCTCATATCTCATATACTGGGTTCTTGTTAAGGGATGTAAATCAAGTTACCATAGTAGGGATCTACTATCAAATTCTGAACCGAGCTGCATGGCGCTCTGAGATGGGACGGCGCAGTGGGTACTTTGACGCTAACGCTGGAGCCGCAGCGACAGAGAGAACAATCGTCTGGGGTGCTGGGGTTCAGAGTTTACCTGTACTCAGGGGATCCTCCTAAACTCTAAACCCTAAACCCTAAACCCTAAACCTCGACAAGTTTTATAGACCCTAACCATGAACCCTCCGCCTTCCTTGCCTGACGGGCTTACTTTACATCCCTGACAGGGCTTGAGACATTCCTCAATCTGTCGGCATTCATGTTTCTTGTTTAGAGGCAATTGTCCGTTTAGGGCTCTAGGGTTTAAGGTATTTGGGTGCACGGCTTCAGTTTCGTGTTTAACGTTACGCTTCTAGCTGGGTTTGGGGTTGAAGGCTTCGGGCTAAGGCTTTATTAGGGATAGCTACATGCCGAACAAGACTTGTGCTTTCACTCTCTCTCTCTCTCTCTCTCTCTCTCTCTCTCTCTCTGTCTCAAGGGATGGAGGTTTCGGGCTAAGGCTTTAGGGATAGCTACATGCCAAACAAGACTTTCACTCTCTCTCTCTCTCTCTCTCTCTCTCTCTCTCTCTCTCTGTCTTAAGGGATGGACAGCCAATACCAATAAACCCTAAACCCTCTATAGACCCTATTGCCAATAACAAAACAGTTGGAATCAAGATTTCGGAGCCCTGCAAGCCACAGCTGCACATCTACTTAAAGGATCATGGGACTTAGAAAGTAGGTTAAGTCCCCTAAGTGGGTTTATCCTATAACCTTACTTACTAAGTCCCATGAGCCTTTAAGTACACCTTGCGCCTCCAATGCGAAAATCTAATCAAGGTTTAGGGTTTAGGATTTCGGGTTTACGGATCCCCATAGTGCACTCCGTAGGATTATGGATGGAAGATGATCTATTGCAGGAACTCGCTATGCTTTACCTCGTTTGGATCAGACACCAGGATAGCAATGTTCCAATATTCTGGCTGTTACTGGTGTCATAAGGACCCTTATATAGGGGGGTAGGGGGCCCTAATACCAAAAATAAGGACTTCTGTGGCCTATGTACAGAAGTCTGGTCCCCCCCTCCCTCCTGCATGCCACCCTTAGGGTCCCTTCTTGGAGGGGCAGGGGACTTAGTAAGTCGTTTTTAAGGAGGGTTATAACTGCGGTAGCTCCATTTAGGGCACTTTTAGCTCTACTTAAAACCTACTTACTTGCTCCCTAAACCCCAAACCCTAAGCCCTAAACCCAAAACCCTAAACCCTACTTACTAAGTCCCCTGCCCCTCCAAGTATGCTATTGGCTCAAGACAACTCCATGCCCTGGCTCCAGGATCCGGGATGTTTGTGTGGGCAGCAAAGGGAATAGTGCCTAAACATGGGATCTCATTTTGTGATATTCAGAACAACCCAAAGGGTCGTATGTACCTCGGTAATAGTGGGTTTCTGTATTCGGAATTGCTAGTATGATCTAGGAAAGTATCCCCCATAACACTACATAGGACCCTTTGGCTACGTAAAATGAGGATCCTCCGATCTGGTGTCTACATAACCGCATCCGTGGGTTGTGGGAAAGTCTCCTATATCTGTTTGGCTAGCATCCTTTTTTTTGCCGCACACGCGGCTCCCTTCGGAACATTTCAGGAAAGCTGGTGTCGCGATCCTGTATGTTCATGACGGGAAGTAGGATCGGGATGTCGGCTGCCAGGGGCATTGTTGGGGGGGGCTTTGTATACTCAAGTACTCCCATATTTGGGCTTCTGTGGGTCGCCCTTTGGTTCATAGACTGGGGGTCGGCATAAGGGGCACATGCACGGTGCTTGTCTTGCAGGCGCTGTACAGAAAACGGCAGCGAGACAGCTCAACTCCTGCACGCCTACTGCGACGGATAACGTAAGATCTGTTATCCGGGAACATGTAGGGCCTAGGTATGGTTGAACGGAGTAAGGCTTCGGGGTTACTACATATCCGGACCAATATCGCCATATTGGACACACTGACCTTCCCGTGGGCATAGGGCATAGGTGCTGGATGATGGTGAGCATAAGAACCAAATTCAGAAATCGTATGTGGAGGTCTCCTATCTTAAACCGTAAACCACAAACCCTAAACCCTAAACCCTAAACCACAAACCCTAAACCCTAAACACCCACGAAACCAATAGTTATCTGACGATCCTATAGGGCCTATGCAGCTGAAACCGAGTGCGAGCCACATCGGGCTCAGAGCGATGGAAAGTGGAACCTGAACACTCCTAGGATGCCTAGACCTTCCAATATCCCTTAGTTAAGGAATATACCTTAAATTATAGTAGGATCCCTAATATGATTTAGGGTATATTCCTTAATTAAGGGATTTTGGAAGGTCTGGGAAACAATCCTAGGATGCCCAGCAACCTAGGAATAGAAAGGCCTCCCTTTTTGGTATTGGGTAACTTTATAGGGAACCTAGGACTACAAAAAAGGGAATAAGGGTACTACTGGGCATCCTAGACTCAGTCACTAAGAGCCATCAGGCTTGGGTTGTTGGAGATTGTGGGCTACTAGACCCAAGAGTAACCTAGGAATGAAAAGAGTGCACTTTTTGGTTTAAAGGGGCTTATAAGGGAACCGGAACCCTTAAAAAGGGAATAAGGGATTACTCTAGGTCCTGGGCTAAAGGTTTGGGGATGTTTGGGGGATTGTACGCTTAAAGCTTATAGGACCTTGGCTCATGCGTGAAGAGCTGCTGCTGGAAACGAGCCGACGAAGGCTCACGAAGCCTTTCCCGGAGAGGGAGCCAGAAACCCAAATGAAGATGTCGGAATGCTTGAAACTAACATCCCCTTGTGGTCCCCTTATGTTGGACTATGACACTGGTCCGGCTTTTTTGACGGTGCCAATATTTTGAAAAGCTAAGTCAAAAGCCCGCTCTCTCCTCGCCCCGGCTACCGGTGCAGACATGGGATCACACCAGCTGCTCACTGACGTTCTCCATGTCCATGCCGTAGATCCTTTTGAGAGAAGGGGAAAGTTGGGGGGGGGGTTGTGGGCAGAGGTTTGCGTAGGCTCCGCGCTCAATGTAAGTTAGGGTTTGGGGTTTAGGGTTCAGGGTCAGTATAGAGCCCTGAGGTGTACCGCTTTATGGATTCAGAGGTTTTGTTTGGGTTTGAGGGGCTGGGGGGTTGGGCTTAAGCACTCAGAGTTGAGGATTTCGGCTTCGAGGGCGAGGGTGTGCATGTTAAGGGTTTGTTTCCTTGCCGCTCCACTCAATCGACACGCAGATGGTACCCCGAACCTTTGCCCCCAAAAGTAGTGGTTTAGTGTTTAGGGCTTCTGGGCTTTAGGGTTTACGGGTTAGTGAGTCCGGTTCTAAGTTTTGGGCCACACCCTTTCGGCAAGGCCACCATGCAGGATCGAGCATTCAACACGCGGTTTTCATAGCTAGCAGATGTCAAACACCTAAACCCATCTTAAACCCTACGCCAACCCTCGTTGCTAAGCAACCGCTATACTACTCTTGTAAATCCTCCTAAAACCCGTAAGCCTACACTGCCCCAAACTCTAAACCTGAAACCCCTGTTTAAATGAAAACCTCCTAGACAGCCTTAACTGGACTTTGTGAAGTAACCAGGGAGAAAAAGTATATAGACGTTTATTTCATAGTTGGTTCCCTTTAAGTAACAGGTCCCAAAAAAGTTTTAACGTATGGTACTCCAAAGCCCAGTTGAGACGAAGTCCTCGAAGGGTCGACGGTGCTGAGTTTCCGGATCTTCATGAAGTCATCCTGGGGAGGGACTCTCTTGGGCTTAGGGTTTATGGGGTGCTCTTGTGATTGCGGCGGTACTTTGCAAGGAATGCGCAGGGTTTTGGAAGAGATTCTCCGGGTTTTACCTTAGAATTCTAGGCCTAAACCCCGGTGCTTTTGTATACCTAAACCCACCCTAAACCCTAAACCCTCAACCCACCCTAAAACCTCTAAACCCTAAACCCTCAACCCACCCTAAAACCTCTAAACCCTCAACCCTAACAACCTTCCTTTACGGCTCACGCTTGAAGCTTTCCTGGCTTGAGTCGGCTCTGAGTTCGAGGCTCGTGGAGCTCAGTGGGGCCCAACGAGTCGGCTCTACTTGGGGTGGTTGTCAAAATTACGGGTCCCTAAATTAGATCCCCAAAATACCCCTTATAGTAACCCTTATAGACACCTTTAAAAGGAACCTAATTCTGATTATGTGGGTGGTTGTCAAAATTAGGGGCATCTTATTTTGGGTTCTTATAATAAGGATCCTACTATTTACTTAGGGCACTGTATCAGGGCCCCCTATTTTCGGAAACTCCCATATGGGTGGTTGTGAAAATTAGGGTCCCTTTTGGGTTTAGGGTTTAGGCTCTACTTGGAGGTATACCTTAACCTACAGAAAGGTTTATGCTCATAGAGTCAAAGGTTCTGGGGTTTAGGGTTTGGGGTTTAGGATTTAGGTTTAGGTCTGAGGGTTTAGGGCAAGGGTTGTAGGGTCCCTGTACAGTCCATATTAGGGTTTATAATAGGAACCAGCGGGACCAACACGGGACACTGCGCAAAATGAATAGAAGTACTCTCCTCAGCCTTAGTAGTTAAGGTCCTTACCCTAAACCCTAAACCCTGAATTATAAACCCTAAACCCTAAACCCTAAATCCTAAACCCTGAGTTATAAACCCTAAACCCTAAACCCTAAATCCTAAACCCTGAATCCTAAACCCTAAACCCTAAACCCTAAATCCTAAACCCTGAATCCTAAACCCCGAACCCCGAACCTTCGACTCATGAGCATAAACCGTCGGCCCCCAGAGGTCGAAAGACCTTCAACGATGTCCCTGTACTTGTTCCCAAAGGGTCCTAGGTACTGTTATGGCAAATACTTCCTAAAATCATAATAGGAATTCCTAAGAAAGAAGCCCTACATTCTACTATTTTGCTACTTTGGACCCTTTGGGGTAGTAAGTTGCCTGATCTTCTGACTTTCGGACGCGAGCAAGAAGAATTGATCATGTGAAAGAATCAGAAGCCAGCGTGTGGACAAGATTTTAAGAGCTTTTAAGGCTTTGGGCTCAGGTTTGGGGTTGAGGGCTCGGTGCTTAAAGGATCATGGGACTTAGTAAGTAGGTTATAACGGGGGTTATAAGTCCCCTAAGTGGGGTTAATCCTAATTTATAACCTACTTATAACCTTACTTACTAAGTCTCATGAGCCTTTAAGTAGACCCTAAACCCTAAACCCCATAGATCCCTTTAAGGAACCCTATAGATCCCTTTAAGGAGCCCTTTAAGAACCCTTACTATGTGAGCCTTCTTCATCTCTGACTGTCTCGCGTTCTCCAGCTGGTCAAGCAGATCTTCGATCTTGCTCTGCTTCGTCGCCTCCTGACGATGCATAGGCACTTTCAAGGCTTTGGCACTCTACTGGCCGATACAGACATAGCGGTGAGTGGGAATTGAATTTTGTAGTGTCCAGCGTTACCATTACCCCTTGAAAAGCTGACGACCAAAACCCTTCTATTACCCTACAAACCCTCACACGCCCCTAGTGAAACAATTGAATCTCTTGCGGGTCCCCGGCTTTGACCCTAATTTAGAGAAGTACTTAAAGGCTCATGGGACTTAGTAAGTAAGGTTATGAGTAGGTTATAATTAGGATCACCCCACTTAGGGGAACTCTAACCCCAGTTGTAACCTACTTACTAAGCCCCATGAGCCTTTACTAGGATACCCAGTAACCTAAGAACAAAAAGGCCTCTCTTTTTGGTATTGGGTAACTTTATAAGGAACCTAGGACTACAAAAAGGGAATAAGGGTACTACTGGGCATCCTAGTTTAAGTATAGCAGCCATAAGCAGACTCCGTGACTGATACCTCAGACTCGGGTTGCTGTCTGCAGTCCTATACTACTGAAAGGGTCATGGGACTTAGTAAGTAGGTTATAACTGGGGTTATAAGTCCTCTATGTGGGGTTATCCTACTTATAACCTACTTATAACCTTACTTACTAAGTCCCATGAGCCTTTAAGAAGGCCCGACCTTCTTAAAGGCTCATGGGACTTAGTAAGTAAGGTTATAAGTTATAAGTAGGTTATGATTAGGATAACCCCACTTAGGGGACTTATAACCCCAGTTATAACCTACTTACTAATGATCCTTTAAGCAGGCTCTGAACCCAAAACCCTAAGAATCAGACGTCGCGGCAGCTTGCGGGACCAAGTCCTAAAGCTCCCATCCCCACCACTCAAGGGGAGCTTCCGAAGATGATAGGCAAGTTACTTGGAAAGGGATCCATAAGGGTTCCTTTAAAGGGACCTATAAGGGTTCTATAAAGGGTTTAGGGTTTAGAGTTTCCGAAAATTCGGGGGTACCTTATTTTGTACTATATTATGGTCCCCTATTTTCGGAAAATAATTCCAAATCCCTGAGACCTTTTCGAAGGGCTTCAAGGGCTGTTCAAGGGTGGCGTCATAGGGGTTTATTTGAAGGCTTTTATTATATACCCGAGCCAGCAACCCACCTAACGCCTGTAAGCCCGAAAAAACCCTGAACCCGAATAATCCGGATCACCGGCTCCTTGATGCGTGCATGGTTCGGCTCCTCTTTGTAGTCATGGTCGGGATCCTCCAGCAAGAAAGATCTGGACATGAGAGAAAACCAAAATAACCAGCGTGAGCACAATAGAACAAGCACCATGGTAAGACCAAGAAACAGTCTTTACCAGTACTTTCAACATTATACGGTATGACTGTCATTAGAGCAATGGCTAGACTAGGGCTTGGGTGTCTATTGTGGTATGAAGATTTTGGGGGAGGTGCAGTCTAAATGTTCCGGCACCTAGTTGATCTCAAAGGGTCGTAAATATATGGAAGAATGTAGGGTTTCTATATTCGGAACTACTAGTAAGATTTAGGGAAGTTTCCCCCGTAACATTACCCATGGGCCCTATAGTACTTCTTTTTGGGGCTCATATTTAGAATCCTATAAGGTAAAGCCAACAAGGAAGGAACTACTATGGGGGGCTATGGGTACATAGGGCCCATTGGGGATGGTTGCTACTTAAAGGATCATGGGACCTAGTAACTAGGGTTGAGGGTTCTTTTTAAGGGTGCTAAAGGGTTCTATAGTATGGTTCCTTTAAAGGATTTAGGGTTTAGGGTCTACTTAAAGGACCATGGGACTTAGTAACTGGGGTGACAAATAAGGTATTACGGTACTTATAACCAGACTTACTAAGTCCCATGATCCTCCAAGTAGTGTCTGCCTGAGAACAGTGCCCCAGTACTTTAAAGAGTTCAGGGGTTAGGTTTAGGGTATAGGGCTTCGGATCAAAACTCATGTGTACAAACCCTACTTAAAGTGCTAAGGCAGTATGTAGTACCTACCAGTACTCACTGACGAGCTCAAGCATCAACCCTGTGAAAAGGCCGGGCCATGGGAAGACAAGTCGGGCATACTCGTTGTTCTTACTACCCATAGGCCTGAAGTAGTTTCGTTCTGGGATTACCTTCTAGGATTCTAAAATATATATATCAAAAACTGGTACTGCTAAGCCCAAGCCAACCCCAAATCCAAAATCCTAAAGCGCATACCCGGTAACGTAATTGCACGCTACACCCTGTAGCTAAACTAAACTCCACTGCACACCCACCGAAAAGGAAAGAACCCTAAACCCCAAAAGATAGTAACCACTCCTGAGTTCCCGGAGCGGCTGCTGCAAGCCTCAGCTGGAAACAGGCTTGGGTTTTAGGGTTCCTTGTAAGGGATCCTCATCAGGAGTTTAGGGTATAGGGTATAGGATCCCTAAACCCTAAACCCCTAAACCCCTAAACCCCTAAACTCCTAACCCCTAAACCCTAAAACCCTAAAACCCTACACCCCTAAACAGCCTAAACCCTAATCCCTAAACCCTAAATCCCTAAACCCCTAAACCCTAAATCCCTAAACCCCTAAACTCCTAACCCCTAAACCCTAAAACTCTAAAACCCTACACCCCTAAACCCTAAACCCTAAACCCCTAAACCCCTAAACCCTAAATCCCTAAACCCCTAAACCCTTTAGGGTTTAGGATTGGCTTTCGGGATTTTCAGGCTTCGGAGTTTGGAGTTTGGGTCCTCAGGCTTCGGAGTCTTCGGTTTCGAAATATGAGAGTTGAAGCTAAGGTAATTGGGTTTAGGTTTTGCTTTTGAACTCCTCTCTTCTTCAACAACCGGGACCCCAAGAGGTCAAACTTTCTAAGATAGAGCTAATATATAAGGCCAAAAAGTTTAAAGTTCCCCTGTTCACCATCTAAGACTCCTTTTCTCCAGAGACAGCGGTCTGCACTCTGAAAGGCTTAGACAGCCAGGTGGGTTTAGGGCATAGGGTTTCGGGTCTAGGGTTTTGGTTTCTGTGTTTTTGTAGGGTCTAGGTTGAATTTGAACTTCGCGGTAAAGACTCCTGGGTCAGCAGCCAAACAAACCCAGAAAACTAAACCAATGTTTGAAGTCTAATTGCTCCCGCTTAGCCACACTTCATACCTCCCCTAAATCCGACAATGCTGAAGCCTGAAACCCCTACCGAGTCCCCATAAGCCTGAAAGGCCTAAATCAGTATCTGTCGCAGTTTCTTCATAGGGGCCCTTGGGGGGGGTAACGGGGAGGGGGGTAGGGGACTATACTTCCTTAAGTCGGTCGTTCTTCAGTCCTCATTTTAGATATTAAGGCACCCTACTGCCTATACTGAACTTAGAATCCTAGCAAAAAATGTAATTTTAGCTGCTTCTTAGGAATTATAATGGCCAAAAATTAAAAAATATTTCTAAGTACCCCTAAGTACTCCTCTGCCTCCTACCCCCTGAGGGTCCTTATGATTTCTGGAGACATCTGTGACCCCTGCGCAGGGCTGCTGTCCCTCGGCGGAATGTGGTAGGAAGGCTGCAGCCTGAAAATGGGACAGGCTTCGCAGGCGTGCACTTCCTAGGGTTGACAAGTTGACAATACAAATCCTGCATTACCCTAGACTCTGGGAATTATGGTCTTCTTTATTATTATGGGTAATGCAGGATTTATATCATCTACCGTAGTTCGTGAGATGAGATGCTTCCTAAGCCTGATAAACCCCAAACCCTGACACGTACACCGGGTCCCTTCTGCGGACAAAGAGCAGAAAATTGGAAGATTTACGGTGGTAGCACTGGAACCCCGCAGGAACAAATCGAAGAATCCCAACCAGACCCCAGAAACACAACCGACTCGCCCACCAGGTATGTATACGAATAAATGTAGGAAAAAGTTACTCCGTGAATAAATAATACAGAAAAATTCTGCGGTGGCGAGTTGAACCGATGTCATTCCGCCCTAAATCCTAAACCCTGAACCCTAAACCCTAGACCCTGAACCCTAAACCCTGAACCGCCATGAGGGGCCCCCGTGACGGTCCGCTAGGGCTTAGGGTTTGGATTTGGGGTTCGGGCCTGGCCCACACCTTCCACTATCCCTTAAAGTAAGGAATATACCCTAAATCATATTCGGTATCCTAGTTTTTAATATAATTAAAAGGTACATTCGTTAGTTAACTAAGGGATATCGAAAGGCCTGGGGTGTTTGTAGGGTTTGGATTTGGGCCTGAGGTTTTAGCACTTCGCTTTGCGAGTCTTGATCTAGGTTCCATAGCAGCCCCTCTATAGTAAGGGTACCCTTCTTCCTACTCTTTGGTTTTAACAAGGGACCGTGAACTACAGTGTCTGGTGCTTAGTAGTACAGTAGAAGCCAGAAAGTTGGAATATCATTATCATACTCCCTTTAAGGTAAATTATAGGGGATCCTGTCATTATTCCATATTCCAACTTTCTGGAGATCCTTTTAGGGAATGGGGGAATGGATGCCTATAGCACACCGGAACCCTAGGAGTTTCCGAAAATTGGGGTACCTTGTCTTGGGATCCTTCTGATAAGGGTCCCACTATCTAGGGTACTACATTACTTGGAGGGGCAGGGGACTTAGTAAGTAGGTTATAAGTGGAGTTGCAAGTACCTTAAATGGAGTTACCCCAGTTATAACCCTACTTATAAACGACTTACTAAGTCCCCTGCCCCTCCAAGTAGGGTCCCCCATTTTCGAAAATCCCCGCATGGAGCCAAGGTCCCGGCTGATAGAGCCTAAGCTCCTTCCGTAACTGAGCACCATGGGACACCTCGGAGTATCCCAGGATAGTGTAAACTTTAAACCCTAAACCCTAAACCCTAAACCCTAATCCCTAAACCCTAAACCCTAAACCCTAAACCCTAAACCCTAAACTTTAAACCCTAAACCTGAAACCCTAAGCTCTAAATCATCAACCTGAGACCCTGGCCTTAAACCCCAAAACTCTAAGCCCCAAACCTTAAACCCTGAACTCTAAACCCTAAGCCTTAAACCAAAACCCTAAACCCTAAACCCTAAACCAAAACCCTAAACCCTAAACCTTAAACCCTAAACCCTAAACCTTAAACCCTGAACTCTAAACCCTAAACCATAAAAGCTTAAGTCTACTTTCGAAGCGGAGTGGGTTGAGAGTTGCTGAAGGTCTCAACCCCCCACGAGACAGAGGTCTCGTAGGGCTGATGGGCTTCATATGGGGGCCTAAACAAGTACCAATACTAAATCCTGCATTACCATCATTACCTTACCCTAAAGCCCCAAAGTAGTTCCTTTTTGGGGTTCTAAATAAGGTAATCCCCAAAAGGAACTACTTTGGGGCCTATGGGAAAGGACCCGAAACTACGGGTGTTGTGGTATATGCCTCATTATGGGTAATGCCGGGTTTAAAACAATATCCTCAACCGTATTCTGGGGGTCCCTGTTACAACCATATGCTCTCAAAACCTGTTCTAACTATGAAGGCCCCTATCGGAACCCCAAGACTTGGAACCCTTACAGTAGAAGCCAAAAAGTTGGAACATCAGTAGCCTCATGCCCTTAGAGTAAAGTAAAGGGAAACCCAGCATGAATCATCCTAAGTCCAATGTTTGGTTTAGGGTATACCTTACTTGGAGGCCCTTTTGACTTAGTAAGTCTACTTAGTATCCCCTACAAACCCTATTAGCAACCCCATAACCCACCTGACTAACCCTACTTACTAAGTCAAAAGGGCCTCCAAGTAACCCCAAATAACCTACCATTCTAGGGACTTATAGAAAGAAATCATATTAGGGGGCCCTAAAAAGGCAGGTTCCTTAGGGTCCAGGTAGGGTTTACCCTCTTTTCTGGAAAGGACATTTGAGTATAAGGCTCTTAATGGGGGTATAAGGTGTTGTACTGGTCAATAATGGTCTAAGGGGATTTGCTAGCTCGGGCTCCCAACCCCACGGATGATAATCTCCGTGCGGTGCAGCTCCAGCTTGAAGAAACCATACCTGCGAGCTTGCGGTTTAGGGGTTGGGGTTTGACTTCTGTAGGAACCCGATTCAGAACCTTGGGCTTTGATTAAGGTTCCTTATGTGAATCCTGTTATCTCGGGGGTATAGGGCCAGAGTTTCTTAATCAGGTCCCTACATTATACGGCTATACCCTGAACCCTGAACCCTGCACCCTACACCCCTAAACTCTGCTGAAGCCTCTAAATCCTGCACCCCCTAAACACCTGTTTGGGGCAACTGGGCTTCTAGGGATTCTGTCAGGCACGAAGCCTAAGACCCATGATCCTAAAGTCTGCAAAGATCTACAACATCTTTCAAACCTGAAAGCCCTTCAGCCAACGCTAAACCCCCAACCCCTACAGTAGAAGCCAGAAAGTTGGAATATCATTATCATAGTCCCTTTAAGGTAAAATATAGGGGATCCTGCCATTATTCCATATTCCAACTTTCTGGAGTTCCCCCTAGAAGCTGTGGCTTGGCACTCATCGTCCCAGCCGTTCAAGTCGGGTACCTCCTCCGACCTGGGTGCTCTCATCCCAAAACACCGAAAGCTTCTAATGGAGCGGCTAGAATTATGGGCCCTTTTCGAACTGCAGAACAGTTACTAGAATTGAGGTTTGGGGTTTAGGGTTTAGGGTATATAACGTGATGTAGCCTTAATTGTGATAATTGGGTATTGGGGTCTATGGTTTAGGGATTAGGGGGTCAAGTATAGTACAGCTTCAATGAGAATCCCTGAGAAATGTGGGGGGGGGGGGGGGCGGCCTATTATTAGACTCGGGGTTCGGGGGCCCGGAGGGGTATATGACAGTAACGATCACAGCCATTACAGCTATAAATGAGGAATCCTAAGGAAAATCAGCAATGTTGGCAACGGTTCGGGCTTCTATAGTGATCGTGAACCACGAACAACCCCGAACCAAGAGACCCTTCTATATGGGCCTTAGTAGTTTAAACTAGGGTTTGGGGTTGGGGGTTTAAGCGTTATGATGTAGGGGCCTTAATGATCAAAATAAGGTTTCGGGGTATATTATACTAAAATTGCAATAGGGAGCCCCCCAAGATAGTATTGGTGAGTTTTGAGGCCCCTATATGAAACCCCAAGCAGGAAGCCTTACAAGTGCACCCGCAAGAAAGATGCGCATCTTTTCGTCGGTTTGCGGCTGTTGAAGGCTTCCGAAACTTGCATGTACTGACTTCTACTTGAAGGCTCATGGGACGTAGTAAATAAGGTTATAAGTAGGTTATAATTAGGATAGCCCCACTTAGGGGACTTGTAATATAACCCCAATCATAACCTACTTACTAAGTCTCATGATCCTTGAAGCAGGGTTTAGGCTTTAGGGTCTAAATTAATCCCCAGGCCCCTAGATCTTCAAGCGATACCCCCGCAAGTACCCTTTAAGAGAGCCCGTATGGATGGTCCTTAATAGTGGCTATTTGGGGTATATTACAGTAAAGCCCATAAAGTTGGAAACCTGATAAAGGCCAAATAGCGCTGGGATTCCCTTTACAGTACTGTTAAGGAATGAGGCTATGGGGTTTCCAAGTTTTGGGATTCTACCGTAGAGGGTACTTGGGGGGTCTAGGATGTGACCCTAAAACCCGAGAACGGTAGATCTCTCAATACTGTTGATGATATATATCCTGCATGACCTTAAGGACCCTAAACTATGGGAATTATGGTATCTTCCCTATTATGGGTGATGCAGGGTTTATATCATCAACGGTATGAGGCCTCGTTCTGCAGACAACTGTCCGCGATCGCAACGATCAGCTTTCGGCAATGATGTTGATGGTGGCGGTGGCGGTGTGGGATGAGGAAGCTAATTAATCATGAAACGAAAACGGTGAAGCTCATCATGATGGCGATCAAATGACCCTGACGATGAAAGCATGAAAAGTGGGCAATTCTTGCGCAGCTGACGGAGAAGGAGAAAGATATGGGGGTTTCCGAAAATAGGGGGCCCTATATAGTACCCTAAATAGTAGGAGCCTTAATATAAGGACCCCCAAACAATGTACCCCTATTTTCGGAAACTCCCAATATGGCAGCGACTGATGAGAAGGATGAGGAACCTCAACCACCTTCGGGAATCGAAAGGCCTGCAGTCCGACCCCTAAACCCTAAACCTCCTTTGGGGGTTTAAAGGGAACTCCAGAAAGTTGGAATATGGTTTCAGGGTAGGATACCCTATAATTTACCATAAAGGCTTAGGATAATCATATTCCAACTTTCTGGCTTTTACTTTAGGGGTTTCGGGGTTTGGGTTTGGGGTTTAGGGGATTAGCGGTTTGGGGTACGGGGTCAAAGCCCCAATAGAATCTGAAGCCCAACCGGTAACCCTCAGTGCAGAAACTCAGCTCGCAACGTGATGCCACCGCCTCCGCCTGAGATGATGACAGCGGTGCCGCCGAGCGGGTTGTTCCCCTGAGGTGCGCTGATAGTTTTCCTGAAGCTTTGGGCAGGGCAACTTCGTACACTGATACACTAAATCCTAAACAGGTGCATCTCCGGAAACAGATCGGTTGTGTAGAGGGCTTCTGGTGGGTTAAGAGCTGCAGAAGTTATGCGTGATACACTCGGAGTTGTCGCATTTGGCGCAGGTTTATGTGCGAACAGCGGTGGCTGACGGTGGCCGATGAGCCTTTGGTGCCACTGTCGTGGTAGCTGTTGGGGCAGCCCTGATATGCTGTGCCAAGTCCATTCATGATTCATCTGGTAAGCACTCATTCGTCGAAGCTGCATTCAGAAACACAAACCCACCCCATACCCTAAGCCTCCTTTCTACACCAAATTCGTCCCAAGACGGGAGAGCCCGACCGAAGAAGCCTTAATCCCTAATCCTCTACTTGGAGGGTCGGGGGATTTAGTAACTGGTTATTTTAGGGACTTATGAGTACCATAACTCCAATTAGAGTCCCTTTTCGGGTACTTATAAGTCTACTTACTACCTACTTCCTCCAGGTAGTCTAAGCCTTAACTTAACCCCGACACCCAAAAGCCCGACACCCAGAAGCCCTGAACCCGAATCCTAAACCCTAAGTCCTGTAACCCGAACACCCAGACGCCCGATTCCCTAATAGTTCCCGTATAGTACCCTTATAGTACCCTAATGGTATCCTAATTGTATCCTTATAGTACCCCTACAGTACCCTAATAGTACCACTATCATGCAGATCTCCTGAAGCTGGGTGACTTTGACGGGAACATAAACCTAGAAGCCCCAAACTCAAATAGTGCATCAGAGACACCCACGGCGCCCACCTTGGCTGAGGCTTCAGAGTGTCAGATTTAAAGAGGCTTCAGGGTGTAGGGTTTGCAAATGCAGCCCCCAAACCTTAGAGCCAGAAGGATGATTCCTGGACTACCGCAATCCCACCTTTAGGGCCCTTTGAGTGCTGGGGCCCGCGGGTGTGCTGATGAATTAAGGTCTTGTAGAAGGTGATTATGTAAAGATCGCGCGAGATATGTGTACTACTTGGGGTACTGGCCCCATACAGTAACAGTCTATAACAGGGCTACAACTCGGGCATGATAAACCTATATTGTTCAACTTATTTAACTTGCTCGCGCACTCCAAGTTGCGATCCCTACAGAACCCCCTCCCCGAAACAATGGCAAAGGCTTAAAAACAAGGGGCTGGCTCCTGACAGCTCTAGTTTGCTCGTGACGCCTTTGAATTTGTAGTGTCTCGACTGTCCCGACTGAATAAGGCCTTCATAGTCGGAAACCCTAAACCCCTAAACCCTAAACCCTAATGTCTAGTCATTACAGCCCTGAAGGCAAGGGGAAACTGCTGGAGACACGGAAACTGCGTCCTTTGGACAAAATTCACATCCGAAGTCCGCTGTTCGACGCTCCGAACCCGGAACACTCACTACAGCGTTATCACATTCCAGCACACCGATCCCAAGACTCTCCCTAGACTGGGTTTTCCTTGTTGCGGTCCGTGTTGGAATGTTGTCGTTGTAATTCTCGGAGTTACATCACGGATCAGGGAACTTCTTAAGTCGAGTGTGCTTGCGGGTATGAGCGCTCTCGTTCGAGCTCTCCAAGGGCTCTGGCAGCCGCTGATGATGCGTGTGGCCGGTAATCATCAGGTCTATACCTCGTGGCACATACTGATAGTGCTAGAGCTTAGGGTTTAGGGTGCGCTACTCTGACTCTTCGTTGACCATGACAGCAACGACAGGCTGTTATTGAAATGCTATCGTAACACTGCGGATGGCAATGATATGTAAACGACTTTGTCTGCCAATGTCTGCATGCATACAGCATGTATGCATGTATGTATGTATGTACATAGGTTCATAGGTACGTTTCTGTGCATATGCCGATGCATACATTGCAACAGTTGCATGATGTCGATAGTGGTAGATAGACAGTGACCCATAGAAAGACAGATAGGCAGACAGACAGGTAGCAAGATAGATAGACTTAGATATGAGTGTGTTCACATTTATACATCCACCAGGAAGCCAGGCAGGCAGCCAGTCAGGCACACAGACACACATGTTGTCTCAGCCTTATACCAGCTGTCGTATCAAGTTTCAGGACTATGGCTCGACAACACACATTATCCGAACGACTTCAACTAAAAGCATTCGGGACCCTGGTGTACACGCCTGAGAATGCTGAAAAACACCTTTCGAGACATACACTTGTAAGGCAGGCCTCAAGCGGAGACGTGCTGATGCTTGAGAATATGCAGCTCCGCGTTAAGAACTCAGAAGGGCTGTCATCTAACAACCATCATGGGGTGTAGGGGTTTAGGGTGACATGAGGGAGACCTTGAGGCCAGAGTCCGGCTAGCTTGTTTGAGCACGGATCTGCGCTGAGATAAGCTTTCCATTACTTCCTTTCACGGGCCCGGACACGGCCGCAAACAAGGTCTGCCAACCGCGAATCTCGGCCCTGTTAGCGCGTACACAAAACAACATCATCGACCGTAAATAAACACAGGATGCTGTACCCTACACTCTTAAAACCTGACTCTAGACCTTACACCCGAATGTCAGTAGTCCACATACACTCGGAATACAAGAAGAGAATCAACATGCCAAGCTCCCCGCCGTACTTCTTCGTGATCCCTTGCCAGAACTGCATACCCCACCTGTGTCGGTATCGTGGCTGACATGGTTTTCTGGGATTCATACTTAAAGACTCATGGGACTTAGTAAGTAAGGTTATCAGTAAGTTATAACTAGGATAACACCACTTAGAGGACTTATAACCCCAGTTATAACCTACTTACTAAGTCCCATGATCCTGTAAGTAGAAGTCATCAGGCTCTCATGTTCGTTGACTTGAGTTCAAATGTTTGGGAACTGTTCTTTAAAATGGCTCTTGCTCCTTGCGCGACACCCTAAACCCCTAAAGCCCTAAAAGGCCCTGTGGAAGTATCTAGTTGCTACTTCCTTGGACGTCTGGGGAAAGCCTCCCATAGACAGCACACTCCGAGGGTTCATGGTATGTGCGGGCCTATTAAGAACCCCAAACTACTGTTGATGATATAATTCCTGCATTACCTTAAGGACAATAAACTATGGGGATTATGGTATATTCCTTATTATGGGTAATGCAGGATTATTATCACCAGCCCTATTCAGCACCCTAAAACACCTATAATGCCATAACCCTTACTCCGGTTGATGATATAAATCCTGCATCACCCATAATAAGGAGTATACCATAATTCCCATAGTTTAGGGCCCTTAACGTAATGCAGGATTTGTATCATCAACCGTAGGGGCCCTAATGCCGTGATAGCTAGAATAAGCTTTTGCAGTATATCATGGTATTGCAATGTTCAGGAACCATTCCTTCCATGATTCTGAATTATTACTCTTTGCATTATGCAGAGCCTCGTCTTTTAACCTCCGAAATCCTTAACCCTAGAGCCTAAATTGGTCCTTAATTGGTGGCCGTGGGCGCTCTGAAGCTTGAAAATCTCCGAACCCTAAACCCTAGATCCCTAAACCCTATAAGCCCTAAACCCTAAACGCTATAAGCCCTAAACCCAAAACCCCAAACTGCTAAACCCTAAATCCCTACCCCCTAAGCACTCCGCCCCTGAACCGGTCTATGGCAAACTGGGCCCCCGAGCAGCGGCGGAAAGTGGGTGACGGCAATCTGCCAGTCCTGCCGAAAGTCAACCGATGGGTAGATCGGCATAATATATATATATATATATATATATCTCTCTCTCTCTCTCTCTCTCTCTCTCTCTCTCTCTCTCTCTCTCTCTGTTTCTATCGATCAGGCCATCCAAACGTTCAACCATCTTTTGCGTCCCCCCGCTCAAGAGCTGAAGGTCATCGATTTAGGGTTTAGGGATGAAGACGAAGGCATCCAGCAGGACCCGAAAAGCGAGTCTCCCCACCAGTCCGATATGCCTCGAAAACCAGTAAGCAGCCAAGACAATCCCGAAGGTAATATAGGGGCATTACCACAGTGAATAGGGATTTGGGGCCCATTACCTATAGTTATACTAGGAACACCCCCACAATAATACAGGTTTAGTTATTAAGGCTCCTACATTGCCCGTCCGGTTCAGCCAGATCACCGGCGAGTCCCCTCTGGTCCGGCATGCCAAGGCGGTTCAGTGATGAGGGTGATGAAGGTAACGACGGTGGTCTTTCTTATCATCCGCTCCAAGACTGCCCAAAATGAACCTGTGCCTCTGAAACGACTCCGAGCTCAATTCTCCATAGCTCAATAGCCGATGCCTCGCGAGCGCCTGGGGACTGCAACCGATCCTTCATCAGGATGTCGTTGTTCACTTGCACGCCATGCGTGCCGTCGTGCAGAACTCTGAAGTCCTGATCCGGTTTTGTCATGACAGCCAGGGCAGCGATCCGCAAAGACGAGCCAGGATACCTCTTGCGAGCCTCGGCCACTTGCCCGTCCGCCTCCTCCTTCTCGAAGGCATCTTGAAGAGCTCGTTCCACCTCCGGCCCGTCCTTGCTTGTAACCTTAAACCCGGAACCCTATACCCTTCCCACTCCGATTCGTCTTGCTTCTGTTCCTTCTGGCGATGGCGATAGACCTTCGGAGCCGGACCAAGGGGAGCAGTACTACAGGGGCTAAATAGTTACCAATACTATTGTGGGGGTTCCTTGTTAGAAATATAGTATAATATACCCCAAAACCCTATTCGAATTATCAAGGCTCCTATATTATGTCCCGCCTCCACACCATTGCAGAAGCAGGATGTTTGAATAAATCGAAACACTGGGTTTGGGGGTTGTGGTCATACGCTTCGCAGCTTTACGGGTGTAGGGTCTGGGATAACGTATGGTACAAGGGTTGGGGCAGTGCGTTTTCGGAGGTACTCTCAAGGCCTGAAATATTGGAAACTGGTTTTGTGGAATTTTTATGCCATAACTATAACTTGTCTGCCACGCGGGTTGATCAGCTGCATCTTGCATTAACTACGCGACTGAACCAGGATGTTGCCCATGCTGCCCATGGATCCCGTAAACCGTAAACCCGATAATCTTCAAACCCTAAAACCCTACACCCTGAAGCCCGATAGACTTAGGCCCCAAACCCTCAACCCTCAGACCCTAAACCCTAAATCCCTAGACCCCTAAACCCTGATCTACTCCCACAGAAACCCGTGTCTTGGGCCCCCGGCCGTCTGCAGCACGGAGTTTTCGAGCTGGATCTGACAGCGGGATCCGGGTTCTGCAGGAACCCTACTTAAAGGATCATAGGACTTAGTAAGTAGGTTATTATTGGGGTTATAAGTCCCCTAAGTGGGGTTATCCTAATTATAACCTACTTATAACCGTACTTACTAAGTCCCATGAGCCTTTAAGTAATGGTTCCTTTATGGGATCTATAAGTTTCAGGATTCAGCATCGGGTTGAGGTATCAGGGTTTAGGGGATAGGGTGTATATAGGGTGTAGGCTTTCAGGGTCTAGGGTTTCTGGTTTCAGGGTTTAGGGTGTAGGGCTTTGGGGTGCAGAGTTTAGGGCTTAGGGTGTAGGGTTTCAGGGTCTAGGGTTTAAGGCTTGGTTTTTTTTTTTAAGCTCCTTTTTGACGTCTGCCAGATAGTCGGCCGACTCCAAGGCCAAGGATGGCCAGGAGAAACAAGGCACTTGCAGGCCCTGACAAAAGCCACCCCTCAGTCGTCACCCTTCACAATCATCAGCGACGATGCATCCCTCTCAAGAGCTTCTCTCCATACTCACTCGGTGCCCTGCCCGTCCCCATCCATCTCCGTAGCAGCAGGCAACCCAACATCTTCCAACCCTCCTCGAAGTAGCTGATGTGTATCCTCCTCCCCGGCATTGAGGACAGCAAACTGGGTCTGTAGCAGGTCGAGTACATGGCTGCCATGCTCCGCTGCAATCTGAGCATCTCCCAACACCCCATCCCTCCACTGCACATAGAGCTGCTGGAACTTGTCCATGCTGAGATCGTCCGGAATGATCCCCCAGACCTGTGATGCTACCGCTAGTAATTTTGGTGCCGCGAAGGTGAGCTTTTCCGAAGAAGGCCCCTGAGAGTCGATATGGGGACTTCTCTCCTCCACTTGATGCCAAAATCACCCCCACCAAGCCCAGGGCAGCTGCGGCCGACACCGAAACCATTTTCTCCCACTTGTGGTACGTCTCATCTCCAAGAAGATGATGGAGTTGGCTGGTGACTATGCGTGACTTCATGATCTCCTTCACACGTGCTGAGCAAAGTGCTTTGTCAGGAGACTTATCGAGGTCTTTCTTTCACCTGCCAGTCGAGCGCCAGGGTGCTGTCCTCTGGGAAGGATAAAGAGTATGCTTCGAGATCCTGGATGGTCTCAATGATTGGTACACCATCTGCATCAATCTTGACTCCGGGGTACTCCTCCTTCTCCTTCTTTGATCCCCGGGCTCCTTTTTTCTCCTTCTTCTGCTTCTTGTTTTTCTTCTTCTTGGATTTCTCGTCACTGTCCTCTTTATCCTCATCCTCACTTTCTTCTTTTGGCTCATCCTCCTCTTTCTCATCTCTCAACACAGCAAGGCCTTGGTGCTGCATAAGGGCGGAGGTCATTGGGACTTCTCGTTCGATCCTTTGCAAGTACCCAGCATTCATGATGTCATTCCCTGCGGCAGTTGACAGACTCTTTGTCAGAGTACTTGACTCGGACCATGACAATTTTGTCAACCCTTTGAGCATGGCAGTCGATGAGAACTCACTTAGGGCCTCAACTCGGGCAACTGATGCTCTGAGATGCTTTTGGCTTGTCAGACCAGCATCCCTCCGCTCCAGATGATTTGCAACCTCTTGAGCTCTTTCTCCCAGGTAGTTCATCTTCTCCGCCACCTGGGATTTGAAAGCTTCTTGGACTTGCATAGTGACCTTCTCATACGCTGCAATGCAGGCCTTTCGCCCATCTGAGTCCGGAGCTTCATCCCCAATCATCGCCATCAAGGTCTTCTTCTTGGAGGATGAGCTCTTGGAACTGGAGTCTGCGACCTTGTTGCACTGCTTGAGGAGGGTTTCCCATTTCCCTATTCCTCCAGTCAACCTTCCATACAGGGCTGTGAGGGCATTCGTATCCATGTCGACGAGCTTGTCTTCCGAACTCTCGCTGTCTGTTGTCTCAGAAGATGAGCTGCTCTCGTCTGAATCTGAGGAAGAGTCATCTTTCTTCTTCTTCCCCTTTGAGTCTTTCTTTGAGTGCTTCTTTTCTTTCTTCTCCCTAGATGACTTGTCACTCGCTCCCGTTCGACCAGAGTGACCAGTAGTCTCTTCCATGATCTTGATGTCCCATCCTCCGATGATCGACAAGAGTGTATCTGTAGAGCGCACGAGAATCCCACCCATCAGCTCGTCCAGGTCAGGTATGACGATCCAATAGTCATCAACCCGGAAGGCAATCATGCTGTTCGTCATCCGACTCTTACTTGTCTCTTCTTTTGGTTTCCCTTTGAACAGAACTGCCGAGACCTTTTGAGCTGCAGAGAACTCAGGGCTCATACAAGACAAGCTTCGCTCCTTTGCGTCTCCAAAAACCTTTCTAACTTCTGCAAAGGACCTCCCAACCGAGACTCCAGCAACGTGAATAGCTTCTGTCATCTCTCACCGTGGTTGCCCACAAGATGAGTTGATAGATAGGATGAGGTGATAAGATCACTAGCACCTTGAGCCAAAATGGCTAAGGCTTGGGGTTTAGGGTGTAGGGTTTAGGATGTACGGCCCGGATTGGGAGTTTAGTGAGTGTATAAGTCAGGCCATATACGTAACGTATTGGGGTTGTAAGTTATAAGTGGGTATACAGTAGGTATATGGGGTATGAGTATGATTGCCCTCATTTAGAACCGTAGTTGCTAAGTCCCATGATCCCTCAAGTAGGGTTGGGTTTCAGGGCTTAAGGGATTAGGGTTTAGGGTGGGCTGAAGTTCCGCGCGTCGAAAAAAAGGCTTATACCATTAGGATTTTTCGAATCCAGACAAAACTCGATGTCAGCCTCGTGTGCCAAGTGGTGAAAAGTGTAAAGCTTTGCGAGGGGAGGTCCTAAACCCTGTACCTTAAGCCCTAAACCCTAAGCCCTAAACCCTAAGCCCAAAACCCTAGACCCCAAGCCCAAAACATCCCAAAACCTGATTTCAAAGGCCGTATTCTCGGGGCCCGGCTGCCAGCCAGCTGCACTGCGCCTTCCAAATCTTGACGAACCAGAACTTGCCTAAGTGGGCTCAGAGTTTAGGGTTAAACGATTTAGGGTTTAGCCTGAGTTGGTCACTCGGAAGCACTTCTCTAAGACTCCCAATATACAAATAGAAGCTACTTTGGGGTCTGAATGCCTATGTTGGGCTGTTTGGAGTCTCAGGGCTTGGGCTTAGGATTCAGGTCGGGCTTTAGTGCTTTGGGGGTTTTGGGGCTTGTAGGATTTCTGTGGTTGTGGGGCTTCCCTATGCGGATGGAGACAGGCCCAACGACTCATAGACAGTGTGGTCTTGCGTTCCAAATACCTTGGGCACATAAATACTCGGATCGCCGAGTCTTGTTTAAGAGTTAGGGGTTCTCCAAACCAGGGCCCTGTGGACCAATGTGGTTCGGAAAACAAGAAGCAATCTATATCTTACAGGAGATTCCGTAAACAACGTCACGAACCTGAATGAAGGGTGTATGCCCTCACCACCTTCCCCCCATCTCAAAAGCCTTCAACACTTGAGGGTCTGGGCGGCGGTTCAGGGCTTAAGGTTTGCAGGGCTCAGGCTCGACACTTCACCCCCCAAAAAAAACTGCCTGAAATATGACAAATTCGACTACCCTAAGGCCCCAAAGTAGTTCCTTTTGGGGGTTCAGATATAGAATTCTACAGGGTAATCCCCAAAAGGAACTACTTTGGGGCCTACGACTAAACCGAAATTTGAAATGAAGCCTCCTGGCACTAATGACAACCACCAGGCCCTACCAACAAAGACAAATCGGTTTAGGGTTTAGGGTTTTAGGGTTTAGGGTTTTAGGGTTTTAGGGTTTAGGGTTTTAGGGTTTAGGGTTTTAGGGTTCAGGGTTTAGGGTTTATATGCGTAGTTCTCTTAATTGGGGTGCCTTCCTCCGTCCCCAACATAGTAGGGAACCCCACAAAAAAAAAGGATCCTAAAAGGGACTCTACTTTTGAGAACTACCCATATCGTATGAGCCACCCAGTGCACGCTGTAAATGAAACCAGCCCTAAAAGCCCCCTGAGCAACTAATGTCACCTTATATTGTGGCTCTTTCACTCGTATTCGACAGACCCTAAACCCTCCAATATCCCTTAACTAAGGAATAGACCCTAAATTATGGTAGTCCTACCATAATTTAGGGTCTATTCCTTAATTAAGGGGAATTGGAAGGTCTGGGAACCCTAGACCCCACACTCCAAGCCCGCAGCTCCATGCTAACGAGCCCTTAAACCCTAACCTAAAGGGTTTAGGGTTTAGGGGTTTAGGGGTTTAGGGTATAGGGTTAAGAAGCCTTTAACCCTGAACCCCTGATTGATTTAAAGGATAATTAAACCCTCATCCTCAACCCGTAACTTCAGATTAAACCTCCAAATCCTAAACCCTAAGAGCTCTTAGCATGTCTTGACCATATCTTCCCCGACTTAGACAGAAGCCCCGAAGCACGCCCCTCTGAGGTTCCGGGCAGGCGCCGGGGCTGTCCGGGCCAGTCCTCAGTGCACAACGCTGCAAGCGAAGATGCTTTTTCGGAAACTTTAGGGAAGTGCTTTCGATGTTTGACCGCAGACGGTGAAACAGTGAAACACCGCTAAACCTAGGTCAACCGTTAACACAAAACCTCGAATATGCATCAAGACTCAAACCCTCAAAACGTGATAGTACCCTTGTAGAACCCTAAACGGAACCCTTACCGTTCTCGCAACCACCCAGACCTTCCAAAATATTTCAATTAAGGAACACACCCTAAATCATGTTAGGGATCCTACCATAATTTAGGGTATATTCCCTAATTAAGGATTTTTGGAAGGTCTGGGCATTATCGGAAGCAGTCAATGGGAGCCCCGGAAGGCCTTTCGATCCTGAACCCTCAAACCACGCCAGGCTTTCGAGTTCTTAGCCCGACTGAAAGGATCATGGGGCTTAGTATTATAATTTGGGTTATAAATAAGGTAGCTATACTTAGACTTACCTGTGACCCCAAACCCTATAGAATAGTAGGTTACTACCCTTAAAATATAGGGTCTAACCCCTGAAACGGTAGGTTTTTGGATCCACAGGCATAATTACTTACAACCCCAATTAAAGTACTTCTAGCCTTACTTACTAAGTCCCATGATCCTCCAAGTAGACCCTAAACCCTAAACCATATAGATCCCTTTAAGGAACCCCTATTACGGGAACCCTTTAAGGAGCCTTACTTACTAAGTCCCATGATCCTCCAGGTATAGGTTCGGATCAAGGGCTATGTAAAGGCTTTAAGGCCGAGGGTTTCGGGTTTAGGTCAAAGGGGAAAAGGAGGGACCCCTATACTGGGCTATATAATGGGTATATAATGGCTATATTATGGGTATGTACCTAGGGGTCCTTATTAAGGGTCCCTCCTTTTACCCTTGGATTAGGGCTCCTAAATCCAAACAAACCCTAAGGATTTTGGGGCTTTGGAGTGTAGGGCTTCCCAATATGTGAAAGTGCATAGACTCCCCGGCCAAAATCCTAAAGCCCAATCCTAAACCCTAAATTGAAATCCTAACCCCCCCAAAAAAAAAATCTGAGGCACGGGCACAGGACATCCCTTCAACTCCTGGTTGTGGCTGGTGCCTTGGGCGGGCTTTCGTCGTCGTTGACGGTGCAGGGTTTAGGGCTTTCATTTAGATGTTACATCTGAAAGGATTGGGGTTGTAGTTTGCAGGGTTTAAACTTAACGGCTTTAATTTGGATGTTATATCTTAAGGGCTTGGATTTGCAAGGTTTAGACTTTAGGGGTTGAATTTGGGTAATGTAGGAACCTGATGAAGAAACCTTGGGCCATCCTGCTATTTTGGGGTTATAGGCCCAAAGTTTCTTAATCAGGTTCCTACATTATTCAGTCGTTTAAAAGCTAGGGACATCCGGGCTTCTGGGCATTTCGGCTCCTCTGCGAAACTGAGGCCTCGGGGATTCGCTGTTGGGGAAAGCGTGTAGGGTTTAGGGTTTAGGGGGTTTAGGGTTTAGGGAGGAGGGTTTAGGGGTTCAGGGTTTAGGGGTTTGGGGTTTAGGGGTTTAGGGTGGAGGGCTTAGGGCTTCGGGAGGAGGGTTTCGCGCTTGGCTTGGGGAGCTTTTAACTTTAAGAGATAGGTTCTGGGTTTCGCTCTAAAACTTAACTGCCTTAAACCCTGAACCTTAGAGCGAACCCTAAACCCTAAAGCATTACAGGTCCACGGCTTGAGTCGTAGTGCCGACGGCACCGCGGCTGCTCCACCGCTTTGTGTACAGATTGAGGGCTTGTAATCATCCGGGTTCTTGTGGCAGGAGTTGAATTCAGGTTACCATAAAGGCATGTTTTTTTCGATTCAATGTTTTCTCGCGTGGAATCAATTTTTTTGTTGTTGAAAGCACACATCACTGTAGACACACACACACACACCCACACACACACACACACCCCTGCACGTTTCGCGTTTTTTCTCGCGAGCACCGCCTGTCAGTGCCAGGTCCCACCGCTCCAGCGCTGGTCATGCCAGTAGCTGGGGTCTTTGCTCCAGGACCACCAAGAATTCCAGTCACTCTCCTCCCAGCGCTGGTTTTGCCAGTAGCTGGGGGAGTGCTCACTGGTGTTCCTCGTCCACCTCGAGTCTTCACCCCAGCACTGGCCTCTCCAGCAGCTGGGGGAACGCCCCGAGTCGTCGCCGCTGCGTTGGCCTTGCCACCAGCTGGACCGCCAACTGTCGCCCTCACTCCAGTCGTCGTTCTCCCAGCGCTGGCTTTGCCACCAGCTGGACCGCCAACTGTCGCCCTCACTCCAGTCGTCGTCGTCCCAGCGCTGGCCTTGCCAGTGGCTGGACGAGTCCTCGCTTGGCACTTTTGTGCTGGGAGGTGCACAAGAAAATGCCTTGCAAAACCACTTATGTTGTTTTAGCGCCCATTAGTCATGGGTGGCTAGCAACTTTCCACACCCGTATGGGCATGCGCTTCGGCCGCCTCGGCCCCCGCCCTTTCCGGGTAGGAGACCTCGTGCTGCTAAGCAGCGCGAGCTGTTTTCTTTGTGCGCCTGCCGCGCTGCGGCGCCACCTTTCAGGTGGTAGCCGCAGATTTCGCACCTCAGAACAGCTGAGAAGGCAGCTCCACTTGGTGGTGCAGGTGGCGCCGGTGGCGCTTCTGCTGCAGCAGTGTCAGCAGCTTCGGCGCTGCTGCCTGCAACCGCTGGATTGGCTGCAGCAGTGTCAGCAGCTTCAGCGCTGCTGCCTGCAA